TCAGCTCACAGACCCACCGCCCTCAGCTCACAGACCCACCCCCCTCAGTTCCCATCCCTACCCCGCTCAGCTTCCATCCCTAACCCCCGTTAGCTCTCAGCCCTACCCCCCTCAGCCCTCCCACTCTCCCTCCCACCCCCATGTGACTGTGAATTGTTGGGGGGGAACAAACGGAGTGGCAGTATTCCCATCCCCTCCCCAAGAGCACTCAGTGCCATCTGGAATGACGCCCCTCCCGCCACACCTCCAACGCGTACACCACGCGCTGGATCCTCACTGGATCCTGCTTGTGGATCACTCAGGGATCTCAGTGGCTGATTGGCCGTTTACCCGGCAGCAAGAGGCTGCCAGGGACCCAATGAGCTTTCCTCTCGGTGGCTTCGTTTTCTCTTTAATAAGACAGAAACCTTCCTGTCATTACATTTGCTCCCAAATTCAGATATATCCCCCACGTGATAATTTAATCATGTCAAATCAATTCCCACAGAAAGCCTATTTGAGAATCAGTGGCCTGCCCAAATATAGTCACCTATTAATAAACCACTGCGGTTCACTGGCTCCAGTGGGAGTTCGATTAACTTCGATATTCTGGGGATTTCACCAACTCTTTTCTTTCTCGGAGCTGGCAGCTTCTGATCTCGGTCCGTAAAGACAGATCCAGAGGAGAGAAGCTGTGAAATTTCTCCTTATCCCGGGGAGATCGTCCGCATTATTCCCACAGGCTGTGCCCAGCGCCAGGCGCTAGGGGAAAGGGAGCTTCCCCATTCGGAAGAAGCCGGCTCTGGGAGGACTTCCAGCTCTGCTAAACACTGGCAGGTTAAAGTTTGCTTTCTCCAACTCAAAGACCTGAGCGGGGACAGTCTCTTCTCACACTAGACCGGGAACCCGCTCCCTTGCTCTCGGAGCTGTCTACAGCGGAGAAGCTGTGTTCAGCCCAAAGCGAAGCACTAACCCCACCAGCGGCTGAAATTGTGACATTGTACAATACACCGCGACAGCCATTTCAAATAGAACCATCTATAACATCTATCGTAATCCAAATATCTGGACTAATGATCCAAAGACATCAAATCTGTAGTAAAAGCTCCAGAGGTGTGTAATAGCGTCTCTGAAACAGACTGATTTTAAAAAATCCAACCAGACATTAAGCAGCAATTGCTGATTTTCTAGAAGCTATTTAAACTGGTGGCTCGATTCAGCTGAAAACGTAAGAGTTAATTGTCACTTCGATGGTTTAAACTATTGATTCAGCCTCATCTGCAGAATCAAACCCCGCTAAAGAAACACACAGATAATGTCTGCTGAAGTTTGACGGTGGAGTTGAAACGAGTGTTTTTTTTATCAGTCTCTGTCTTACCAGGTACAAGCTGAGCTGGAGGGGAAGGAGGGCGAACCAGTGAGAAACTTGCATCTTCCTTCAAACTCGCTGGCTTTCCGCTTCACTCACATCTGCCAGCTGCTATCCAGATTGCTCTCAGACACTGGGGAAGCAGCATCTGAATATAACATTCCCCAACTCTTCCATCGCGCTGCATCCTCTCTCTCTCTTTCACACACACATACATACACACATGCACACCTTGCTCACACCCCCTCCTCCTATCGTTTCTCCTCCCATAAAGGAGGAGGGTCCGAAAGACGTTTCTTCTCTCTTGCCCTCCCCCTTTGTTTTTCTGTACCAGTAATTTCGCCCAGTGCAGACTGCAAATTGAGCTGGCCAGTCAAGTGGGAGACAAAATATCTCGCTCCAAATAATACTGCGAATGCTGGAAACCTGAAAGTGAAAACAAAAACAGAAAATACGAGAGAAACTCAGCAGGTCCGGCAGCATCTTCGGGGAGAGAGAGAAAGAGCCAACATTTCGAGTCTGGTATGAATCATCTTGGAAGAGACTCACTTCAGATTAGAAATGTAATCTGTTTCCCTCTCTCTCTCTCCTCAGATGCTGTCAGATAGAGTCAAAAGACAGTTGACTTTTCAAAAATAATAAATATTTTCTTTAAGATAACAAGGTGTAGAGCTGGATGAAAACAGCAGGCCAAGCAGCATCATAGGAGCAGGATTCTCCAGCATCTGCAGTAAGCCTTCCTGCTCCTATGATGCTGCTTGGCCTACTGTGTTCATCCAGCTCTACACCTTGTTATCTCAGATTCTCCAGCATCTGCAGTTCCTACTATCTCAAATATTTTGTTTATCCTTGGATATGGGTGTTACTCACATTTATTATCCATCCCTAATTGTCCTTGAGCTATCTTCTTGAATTCAACTTGCTAGGACAATTCAGAGGGTGATTAAGAGTCATCCACTTTGCTGTCAGTATGGAGTCACATGTAGGCTAGACCAGGGAAGGATGGCAGATTTCCATCCTTAAAGGTCCACAATGAACTTGATGAATTTTTGAACCATTACTGTTACTAGCTTTTTGGTCCAGATAATTAATTAATTTTAAATTGCCAAGGTGGGATTTGAATAAGTGTTGTTACATTATCAATCTAGGTTTTTGGATTACTAATCCAAGGAACATTAAAAAAAATAACTGGTATCCCCAACTGATAATGTCAAAACTCAAATCCATTGATCTATTGTTGGGAGGTGGTCCCAAAGCTAGTGGAGCAAAATGAGCAAATAGAGATGGGGATCAGATCACTCATGATCTAATTGAATGCTGGAATAGATCCAAAATGCTCAGTAACTTGTCAAAAGAAAAAAAAAACAAAAGAATTGTGAATGCTGGAAACCTGAAACAAAAACTGAAATTGCTGGAAAAACTCAACAGGTCTGGCAGCATCTGTGGAGAGAAATCAGAGTTAACATTTTGGGTCCAGTCTGAAGAAGGATCACTGGACCCGAAACATTAACTCTGATTTCCCTCCACAGATGTTGCCAGGCTTACTGGGATTTTCCAGCAATTTCTATTTTTGCACAATAATTTAATATTGTACCTATTTATAATTTAATATTGTACCTATTGCACAATTGAAATGTGGAGCTTGTTCAAGGTACAGCTACTGCTTGTCCTTGAGAAATATGTACCTGTCAGGCAGGGAGAAAGTGGTCAAGCGAGGGAACCGTGGTTTACTAAAGCAGTTGAATCTCTTGTCAAGAGGAAGAAGGAGGCTTATGTAGAGATGAGGCGTGAAGGCTCAGTTAGGGCGCTTGAGAGTTACAAGTTAGCCAGGAAGGACCTAAAGAGAGAGCTAAGAAGAGCCAGGAGGGGACATGCGAAGTCTTTAGCAGGTAGGATCAAGGAAAACCCTAAAGCTTTCTATAGGTATGTCAGGAATAAAAGAATGACTAGAGTAAGATTGGGGCCGGTCAAGGACAGTAGTGGGAAGTTGTGCGTGGAGTCCGAAGAGATAGGAGAGGTGCTAAATGAATATTTTTCATCAGTATTCACACAGGAAAAAGACAATGTAGTCGAGGAGAATACTGAGATACGGTCTATTAGACTAGACGGGATTGAGGTTCATAAGGAGGAGGTGTTAGCAATTCTGGAAGGTGTGAAAATAGATAAGTCCCCTGGGCCAGATGGGATTTATCCTAGGATTCTCTGGGAAGCTAGAGAGGAGATTGCAGAGCCTTTGGCTTTGATCTTTATGTCGTCATTGTCTACAGGAATAGTGCCAGAAGACTGGAGACTAGCAAATGTTGTCCCCTTGTTCAAGAAGGGGAGTAGAGACAACCCTGGTAATTATAGACCAGTGAGCCTTACTTCGGTTGTGGGTAAAGTGTTGGAAAGGATTATAAGAGATAGGATTTATAATCATCTAGAAAGGAATAATTTGATTAGGGATAGTCAACACGGTTTTGTGAAGGGTAGGTCGTGCCTCACAAACCTTATTGAGTTCTTTGAGAAGGTGACCAAACAGGTGGATGAGGGTAAAGCGGTTGATGTAGTGTATATGGATTTCAGTAAAGGATTTGGTAAGGTTCCTCATGGTAGGCTATTGCAGGAAATACGGAGGCATGGGATTGAGGGTGATTTAGCGATTTGGATCAGAAATTGGCTAGCTGTAAGAAGACAGAGGGTGGTGGTTGATGGGAAATGGTCATCCTGGAGTTCAGTTACTAGTGGTGTACCGCAAGGATCTGTTTTGGGGCCGCTGCTGTTTGTCATTTTTATAAATGACCTGGATGAGGGCGTAGAAGGATGGGTTAGTAAATTTGCAGATGACACCAAAGTCGGTGGAGTTGTGGATAGTGCGGAAGGATGTTGCAGGTTACAGAGGGACATAGGTAAGCCGCAGAACTGGGCTGAGAGGTGGCAAATGGAGTTTAATGTGGAAAAGTGTGAGGTGATTCACTTTGGAAGGAGTAACAGGAATACAGAGTACTGGGCTAATGGTAAGATTCTTGGTAGTGTGGATGAGCAGAGAGATCTCGGTGTCCATGTGCATAGATCACTGAAAGTTGCCACCCAGGTTGATAGCGTTGTTAAGAAGGCATACGGTGTGTTAGGTTTTATTGGTCGAGGAATTGAGTTTCGGAGCCATGAGGTCATGTTGCAGCTGTACAAAACTCTGGTGCGGCCGCACTTGGAGTATTGCGTACAGTTCTGGTCAACGCATTATAGGAAGGATGTGGAAGCATTGGAAAGGGTGCAGAGGATATTTACCAGGATGTTGCCTGGTATGGAGGGAAGGTCTTATGAGGAAAGGCTGAGGGACTTGAGGCTGTTTTTGTTAGAGAGAAGAAGGTTAAGAGGTGACTTAATAGAGACATACAAGATGATCAGAGGATTAGATAGGGTGGACAGTGGGAGCCTTTTTCCTCGGATGGTGATGGCTAGCACGAGGGGACATAGCTTTAAATTGAGGGGTGATAGATATAGGACAGATGTCAGAGGTAGGTTCTTTACTCAGAGAGTAGTAAGGGCGTGGAATGCCCTGCCTGCAAAAGTAGTAGACTCGCCAACTTTAAGGGCATTTAAATGGTCATTGGATAAACATATGGATGATAATGGAATAGTATAGATTAGATGGGCTTCAGATTGGTTCCACAGGTCGGCGCAACATCGAGGGCCGAACGGCCTGTACTGCACTGTAATGTTCTATGTTCTATGTTCTATTTGCTTTGTTGTCTTGAAGTTATTCAGCTCATGTATAATGTATGATTGTAAACTATACTTACTAAACTGTAGTTCTCTTTGAAAACGTTAAAATCAAGGACATCCTAAAATATGAATAGAAGTCAGAAAGGTTGTCTAGTCAGAGAGCAACAAAGGGACATGAGCTCAATACAGAACTCAATCATGGGCATCAATGGCAAAGATTTGCAAAAGAATCAGAGGTAACTGAAAAACAGTAGAAGGTTCAATGTTAGCCCTGGTCTGGGCGGGTTTGCCCTGGGCTAGAAATTCTAGCAATTTGATATATTTTAGTAGTGGTCAACATGTAAAACATCAAAAGGTGAACAGTCACCGAACAACCAGATGCGTACAATTGTTGCATCTACTTGTCACTGTTTCCTTACGTTGTCTCAATTAATGTATTTGATTGAACTCCTAATGTACTCCTTGTCTAAAATTGCCCGAGTGAGATGAAAGTCGAGCAGGTGGCTTCTTTAAATTTCAGAGTGACATTTGTCCCCTGGGAGCTAATGTCCCAGAGGAACCAGTTTCCAATGACCATTCCCTTGCAGCAGTAAGTGCTGTCTGGCCAAAATCTGAGCATCCATTCTGTGTAAAGTTTGGAGGGTAAATGTGAAAACAGTCTCAATGCTCAATCTGAACGATGCTGATATTTGCACACACTCCAGGCAAACAACTTGCATTTAAATAGCACCTTTAATATTGCAATATGTCCTGAAGTATTAGGAGCCTTATCAAACAACATTTAATTGAAACACATAGAGAGGTACATTAATTAGTATAGGTGATTTTAAAAATAATTTTGACAAAGATGTTTTGAAGTAGGAGGTGAAACTGAAAGGTTTAGGGAAGGATTCCATAGGTTAGGGCCTGGGTCTGTGGTAGAATAATTAAATGGTGATGTGCAACAGTCCAGAATTGGGGGAAATCAGCAGTCTTAGAAGATTGTTGAGCAGGTAGAGATAAATTACTTCTCCCTGTTCCTATGGTCTCTTTCATATTCCTATATGAAAAGCCTAAATTAATGTCACAAAAATGACAGGAAGATGGCTGATGCACAGGTCAAGAGCAATACTCCGTTAGGAACAGACATTGTGCAAATCAATATTTGAAACAGTGTGGAAGCTAGCACACCATTCTTGATCTTAAGTATATCCATTGAAAAGAGTAAAACAACATTTTTGTTCCAACTGCCAATGCTCACTCCAGCATAACTCTGATAAAATTATGCCAATATAGTGCTGAAGCAATTATACATATCTTAGCTGCACTCACAGGCTGTTCACACCCCACAAAATATATGCACTCATCAATCAAACTCCAGAATAAAACGATAAATGAAGGATTGACTGATCTCAGTGACAATATATGGACCTGATACAATAGCAACAAGACAATCCAACACTGAATCCAGTTTAATAGCACCTGGGAATAAGGAATTGGCCAGGGATTTTGGGGAGTGGAAGGAATTGACCAAATTATCAAATAATAAGGCAGTTTGGTACCTGCATAACTGAAGCCATTCAACACTATTTCTAAGTGTCAAATACTCTATGCAC